TTTATGAAGTTTTCCTTTATTTTAAAATGCTTCCCGCCATCATAATCAATTACTGATAGATTACGATACTGACCACAGAGCAAGCACATCCTTGTCACTGTTGTCCTTTCTGTGACTGAGCAAAAATCCAAGAAGCACCGTATCCAGGGAAGACTCTTGAATGTGGCACAGCTTAGCATCACAAGAGTCATGGCCTTGGAGGCTCTCACCAGACAAATTGTCTTTCCCAGCACCATCTATTTTGTCCTGAAGCAGCAGTGTAGGACAAAAGAACTTGAAGTAATTTGGTTAATGCAAAATACTTCCTCTGCCCCAACTAAGCCTACTCTGAATTTGTGCCAAAATAGCTATTAGTGGTGATTGAAAGTACAAGACAAAGAAGAAACTCCCCCTGGGAACAAAGAGAAGTACCTTTCTACCATGGGCTCATCAACCCTAGCAAGAGATCAGCAGGGTCAGGGAATGGGGCAAAGAACCAGGACAGCAGCAGCTCCGAAACACTGATTCTGAAGTTCACCAGCTGCATACCGTATGAAAGCGCTAAGCAGGGTGAACGACTCGTTTTCCTTTACTTCTTTTGGCCAAAGTGGGGAGCACTTCATATCTATTACAAGTCAACATTATCTTACTCTAGAGCAAAATCTGTTCAAGTTACGGTTATTTACATATGACCAAGTCTGGATTCATTTGTTTACAAATAACAAGTTAAGCTTAGAGCTCAAGAACTCAAGTGAGATTTGTCCCTACATGGTGCTACTGTCATGGGATTACAATGAGGGAGAATATGTAGAGGATGTGTGTCCTGTGTCCCTTCTCTAGTCTGTTTGATTTCTGAGTCAATTTTGTTTACGTTCTGATTTAGCCTTCAGATTGAAATCTTGGCCAGTCTTCCTGTGGAAAAAAAAATCCCAGTCTTGGAAAACAGTTGCTACCAGGTTTGGACTGATATCTTTTCAAAGTAACTCTTGTATTAAAAAAAAAAACAGAGAGAGAGAGAGAGGAAAAAAAAACGAGTTAAGAGAAATACAGAATGTTGTTCCTACCTTGTTTGCTTAGAATGTCTTTCAGCATGACACTCTTAAACTCGGAAAGCTGTGTGTTAACAAGTGACCCTCAGGCCTTAATGTTACAAAATGGAAGAATGATGGGATACCTAGTTTCTGGATGGCACCACAGTGTGGTACTCAGCTGCAACAGAGGCATGAACAAACCTAAGCAATTGTGTCAAGATGCTGGGTAGCCTGGGCTCCCTGTGTCATGCTTCATAAGGCTACTTACACTCCTTACTAAATCAAAGTCTATAGGATATTGAGAACTTAGATGCCAGATAGACTGAAGTGTTATGTACTGAAGTGCTGTTAACCATCACCATAGCAGACTTTGAGCATCCACATGAACAATATTGACTTCACTTGACATTTAAAGTTACCGAATGATTGACTTAGAAATTCTCCATAAACTCAATGTTTGTATTGATTTTGAAATGCCTTTATTTTTACAGTAAATTACAGTATTATTTACACAATGGAATATTATTCAGCTGTTAAGAAAAATAAATTAGGGGCTGGAGAGATGGCTTAGGGATTGAGAGTACTGGCTGCTCTTGCAGAGGACCTGGGTTTGATTCCCAGCATCCACATGGTAACTAACAACTATCATAACTCCAGTTCCAGGGGATCTGACACCCTCTTCTGACCTCTGCAGGCATTGCATGACATGGGTACATTTGCACACATGCAGGCCATGCACTCATACACATAAGGAATTAAAATAGAAAATAAAATATTTTTAAAAGTTAATGTACTTTAAAAGAGAAAAACAAATTATTAAATTCATAGGATGGAACTGAAAACAATCATCCTGGGTGAGGAAAACCAAACCAGAGGGACAAATATCACATATCTCTCTCATAAGTGGATGTTAGCTTTGAATATTTAGGTGTGTGTGTCTCTTTTATTTAATTTTTGTGAACATCATACATGAGTGCAGTCTTCACACCATTTCCATCCCTCCTAGTCCTCCTTCAACTCCTCCCACATCCCCCTACTCCCTCAATTTCCTGTCCCCATCTTTGATTATTATTGGTATATACACATGCATACATTTATAGATGTACATATGTATAATCCATTCAGTGGTGTTCCTGTGTACCTATGTTTAGGGTGCATACCTGGAGTTAAATAACGGTCTGGGAGAAGATTGGAAGTCAACAACTCTACTGGTAAGGAATCCAAAAGACACAAGGACAGTGAGAGAGAAACCCAGAGCCTCAGAGAATCCCTAGACTGTCATAAATAGACTGTCATTAAAAATGAGGTGTTCGGGGCCGGAGAGATGGCTCAGCGGTTAAGAGTACTGACTGCTCTTGCAAAGGACCCAGGTTCAATTCCCAGCACCCACATGGCAGCTATGAACCATCCTTAAGTCCAGTTCCAGGGGAATCTGAAGCCATCTTCTGACCTCCGCAGCATTGCATGACATGCGTGCACTCACATACATACAAGCAATACACTCATACACATAAAACAGAAATAATAAAATATTTTTAATGAGGTGTTCAAGTGGACCTTGAGAGCTTGTTTAGAGGTTCTAGCACAGGAGCACAGCTACTCATATACCAGTCCTCCTCTATCAAGGAAGGACATCCTCTTCTTCAACTGAACAGTCGTCCTCTTTGACTGAGCATGAAGATTCAGGAGGGACTCATGTGGAGCATTGAGGGAGGAAGAGGTAACCTGCCAAGCCAGCCAGATCAGCCAAATCAATTCTGGTGATTAATGATGTGACAGATGTTGCAGCCAGATAGCCCACAAGGAAACAGAGTTTTCTTGACAGCTGGAAAGTTGGACATATGAACTTATAGCAATGGTGACAGCACACCCAAGTCCCATGTAAGCTTAAGCCAACAAAATCCCAACAAGGACATGAGGAGTGGATAAGAAACCCCAACCATACCTGAGAAACTATCAGCAACTATAGCCTCTGGGAGGGAGACTGTCATTTTTATGAAAAGGTATACAAATCTTCTACAGTGATAAACTCTTTAAAACATGTATATATTCTAGGGCTGGAGAGATGGCTCAGCAGTTAAGGACTGGTTGGCTTTGCAGAGGACCTGGGATCTATTCCCAGCAGTCAAATGGGGGCTAATAACTATCCTAACTCCAGCTCCAAGGGGTTTGACACCACCTTCTGACATCTGCAGACATTGCTTGACATAGGTTAACCCAGCTCCAGTGGATGGGCCCACACAGAAGGGCATTTGGGGAAACAAATTTCACTCTAGAGGCCTTAGTATATTGTATGTGTGTGTGTGCATATATATATATATATATATATATATATGAAATTGGGCAGGAGGTAGGAGGTATTCAGGGGGTGCAGAGAATGTATGACAAGCAACATATTTTGATCATGTTTAGACATTAGGCCAGGCGTGGTGGCAC